TCCTTTCAATTTCAATTCTTAAATTCATCAATCACTCCTTTCATTTATGTGATAGGCCTGCATTAAAAATAGATATTTACCATAAATTATAGGTATCTTATATTATTAGATACATTATTATAAAACATATTTTAGTTAAGGAGTTATTGATATTTCAAGTGCAAAATGATGATATAAAACCATGATAAAAATGCACTTTTAAGTACTAATCAGCAACCCTCCACTGAGTTAACTACTATATCTTTTTCAAGGCCATTCACCCAGTGGGAAATGGACATACGAAGCCCTTTCTCAAAAGCCATCGGAAACAATTAGTTTATCTTGGTGGATGTTGACTACTTCACAAAATAGATAAAAAATAAAAGCCTTAGCAAGATATAACCTTCATCAAAATCATTTCCTTTGGGTGTATAAACATTATTTTCATATTTAGAATTAATCATTAATAATGAGACAGAGTTCAACAACCATAAAATAAAAAAGCAATATCAAAAACATCATATCAACCCTCGATTCTCCTTGATGCACTTTTAAGTACTAATCAACCCTCAATTCTCCTTAATATCTCACCCCTAAACAAATAACCAAGCCAACTCCTCAATGGACTCAAGAAGAAGATAGTACAGGCCAAGCTATAATAGATAGAGCTACTAATAAGATTTCATGGGTCTAAGGAACCATCTAGAAGAAATCTATAGGAAAAATCCTTTTCTTCTCACTTATGGAACTAAGGCTATAATCCTAGCTAAAATCAAATGCTCAAGTTATCGGGTAGCCCATTACACAACTGAAGGAAACCATGTAGGCTGAAAAAACAATTTATATCTCCTAAAAGAAACTCGTTTGACTGTAGCTATTAGGAATGAGGCTTACCAACATAGAACTGCCTGTTATCACAACACTAAGGTTTAGAAGAAAATCTTTAACCTTAGAGATTTAGTGTTAAGAAAGTTGGAAGTAACCAACAATACAAAAAATAGAGGTAAATTGGTCTTAAAATGAGATGGTCCATTCAAAATCCCAAGGATAGTAAAGGCTAACACTTATAACCTTTAGGATAGGAAGGGAAAACATCTTCCTATGCATGTAACTCATATCATTTGAAAGTATATTATAATCAATAATGTATAAATTATTCATTGATTCAAAATGATTTCTATCTCCCCTAGAGAATCCTTAGAAGCTAAACTGACTTAAAAGGAGGAATAAAAGTAGCTAATTACCCCACAACTTTTCAAGGATGGGATGAACTCGGTTTTTCTAATGAAATTACATATTTCCTTTTAAAGGGATCAATTATCTCCCTAATGCGATTGCATAACTTATCTTAGAATGGATAAACATGATCTTCTTAGTGCTTTTGTAAAACCTCCAAAGATAGGAAGGATAATGCCATTAATAAAAAGGATTGATGTCATCTTCATAAAGCAATCACCCCATAACATTTCAAGGACAAGATGAAATCGGTCTTTCTAGTGAAATTGCATATTTTCCATAGAAAAGATCAATTATATCCCTAGTACGATTGCATAACTTATCTTGAAAGGGATAAACATGTTCTTTATAATGCTTTTGTGCAACCTCCAAAGATGGAAAGGATAATGCCATCAACAAAGGGGATTAATGTCATCTCCCTAGGGCAACTGCCTTATAACCTTTTAAGGATGAGATAAATTTAGTCTCCTTAGTGCAATTGTATATTTTCCTTATAAGGGATCAATTGTCTCCCTAATGATGTGATTGCATGACTTACCTTTGAAGAGATAAACATGATATTGCTAGTGCTTTTGCACAACATCTAAAGATAGGAAGGACAACATCATCAATATATAGTTTGATGTCATCTCCCCATGGCAAGCCTTCCATCATCTTTTAAGGACTAGATGGATTTGGCCTCTCTAATGTAATTGCACATTTTTCTTAAAAGGGATCAATTATCTCTCTGGTATGTGTCTAAGGGCGTGCGCGGGGCATCGAGCCATGGTGGGTTTGCCTCTTGTGAGATGTGTGTTGAAAATGGGGTTTGGGAATTACCATAAAATTATGATTATGAGTTTAGGAGTCGCTAACTATTGTTATAGTCACTAGAAAACCTAATGGTTTGCGAGAGTCTAGGTAAAAGATTGGTTGTGCAAGAGAAAGATGCATCATCTCCAGTGCACCCTACCTAAGATAAGTTGAATTATTGTTTGATTATTTTTTCTAGGTTATTTTTCTATCCATTAGTTTTGTCTAAGGTTCAAGATAGATCTCTCTTTGTGAGAAAGTTTTCATCTTATTGGGTTAAAGCCTAACTATTCCGAGGCCTAAATTTTAGCATCACATTTATTTTTTTGTATCTTTAATACCTGAGGGTATACTCTACTGTGTAGCTTTACACCCCTACAAGTATTAAAGTCTATAGCTTTAAATGTAAAACGAACAAAATAATTGGTAAATGATTTTTGAAACTTTGGTCAAGCCCTAACAAATAATAATAAACTAACTACAATATTCATTTTTATATTTTAAAACATGAGAAAGATGCATTATTGTTTTATAAAAGTATGCTTAGAAAACTTTTAGAA